TAATATCAAACAATGCGGTAAAAAAAAAAAACATTAAAAAAAAAAAAAAACTACATATGGACAAACCCCTCAGTGGAAGGGTAAGCTCAGGTCGGGACCCAACATGTCAGCCCACTGTTGGACATTTTGAATCTGGGTCGCAGTGGGCTCCGCATACAAACCGATGCTGTCGAATAGGCCCGAGCATGCAACTTCCCAGGCGGTGACTTTCCGATCAAAACGGGGATCTGAGTAAATCAGAAATTCCATGTGAAGTTCACTGGAGATCACTCCCAGCTGCTTCTTGATGTCCCAAATGCTCTCACCACTGCCTTTCTGCCGTCCAAACAAATGAAGATTCTGTGTGTATCCCAGCACGTTTTCACCGGTGATGAGATCAAATAGAGTCGTCTTTCCAGTACCATTTCCTCCAAGGACGATCCACTTTTCGCTTTCCCGAACTGTCCAGTTGAGCTTGTCAAATACACGAACTGGGCCATACCTCAGCCAAATGCAGCAGGCATCTGATCATATCCTGTCTTACCCCCATGGATCATGATGGATCCACCATGATTCACACCATCACTGCAGTTCCACCTTGAGAGATCGCTTCCCAGAAATCTGATGCCGGGAAACTCAATGGTCACGTCCTTGAACTCGACCAGTGGCTCTCCCACGGCTACCTCACACCCAACGTTTCCCCCAGGAGTTCCCCCACGCAACTCACGGCACCCCCAAGCGCTATCAAGGCACTGTTGGGACTGGCATGGACGAGGGGGGAAGTTCGCTGCTGGAATCCTCGCAGCGTCGCGACCGTCGCGTCGTTTCGAAACAAAGGTGGCAATCTGGCCATGGCAAGACATTTCTGGAAGTCACTAGTCACTAGATAATCTACATATGTATATAATCTACAGCAGATATAGTTATAGTATGATATAGTCTATAGATACAATCTATAGATATAATCATATATAATCTATAGATACAGGAGTACTACGACTACAAGCTTGCGTCAGTTCCTTGTCTTGGTCAGGTTTCCTGCCTGGAGAAAGGATGTCACTTTCGCTTCCATCTGTGACCAAGGACCAACACCTGCAGCCAGGTCCAGGTCCCCTCGCCGACTCGCCGAGGACATGGTCCAATGCTGCTGAGAATCTGTGCTCAGTGCCATCTCCCTGACCAAGTAGAAGAACTGAGCTTGGAAGTGGTACCAAATCTTCCAAGCGATGCACGATCATCACCTGAGCCAAGAGATATGGCAGATATGGCGAAAGAGCCATGTCAAGCCGCTGAGCAAGTAGCTTTGGGCCGGGGCTCTTAAATCATGACCCATCCCCATCCCAAATGACATCTTGAAAAGTTCACTTCACAAAACATCACAAAACTGGTTTCTGTAGCAAAGTCGCCAACGCTCGAGGACTTTCATCAAAGAAGCTCTCCAGCATACTGGCGAGTTCCACGCGGGAACTCTTGTCCAGGCCGTCGAAAGCTTCATCGAGGATCAAAAGACTTGGCCTCGGAGTGCTGGGACTCGGACAGCAAGCGATTCAACCAGGCAATGCGAACGAATGCCAATGCATCATGTGGCCATGGGTCAAAATGTGTGTTCCCTCATAATCATTGTCTACGGTACTAAGCCACTAAGCTTTGCTAAAAATCATCTGCCTTTGTTGGCCCCCAATTGTGACCCATACCCACGTGATCCCACATGCTACCGTACATTGTTCTCTGTCTCGAAGGTAAGGATCTTGCTCTTTGAGAAGAGCATCCACCATCAGAAGTTTCCGCCCCTGCGTGGTTGGAAGGCATGCCGAAAAAAAATGGGTACCATCCCGAACTTAGATCGATTGAATTGGGTGTGAGATTACATCCACATTGAATCCATCTTCATACCTAATCAATTGTGTAAAATACGCTTATATATATATATGTTATACCGATATACTCTGTATAATATATATATATATATTATATCCCCCTTGCAATTTGGGGGGGGTGCTGGACCCCTCGATTCTGTAGAGGGCCCCAACGTCGGGTACCCTGTGGCCACTCTACTAAATCAATCTCTGCTCTCCAGGGTAGGGATTTACCTTCTACAAAATCAAGAACCTTCCACAGCCCTCATATCTGACAAAAAAAAAAAATCATGTTTTCTACAAAATCAAGGACCTCACATGTGAAGGCATCAAAACAAATCAAAAAATATCACTTGTTGAGTTAAAACCTCAAATGATGATTCTGTAGAGATTTGTGTTAGAGTCGACTCTGTAGAGATTTTTTGTTGGTCTTTGATTTTGTAGCATGAAATTTTACAAGTTTTACATGTCAGTCAAAGATGTCCAAAATGGCCAGCCTTTGATTTTGTAGCATGAATTCCTTTACAAGATTTTACAAGTCAGTCCAAGATGTCCAAAATGGCCAGTCTTTGATTTTGTAGCATGAGTTCCTTTACACGATTTTACAAGCCAGTCCAAGATGTCCAAAATGGCCAGCCTTTGATTTTGTAGCATGAATTCCTTTACAAGATTTTACAAGTCAGTCCAAGATGTCCAAAATGGCCAGTCTTTGATTTTGTAGCATGAGTTCCTTTACAAGATTTTACAAGTCAGTCCAAGATGTCCAAAATGGCCAGTCTTTGATTTTGTAGCATGAGTTCCTTTACAAAATTTTACAAGTCAGTCCAAGATGTCCAAAATGGCCAGTCTTTGATTTTGTAGTCAGTCCAAGATGTCCAAAATGGCCAGTCTTTGATTTTGTAGCATGAGTTCCTTTACAAGATTTTACAACTCAGTCCAAGATGCCCAAATGGCCAGCCTTTGATTTTGTAGCATGAGTTCCTTTACAAGATTTTACAACTCAGTCCAAGATGTCCAAAATGGCCAGTCTTTGATTTTGTAGCATGAGTTCCTTTACAAGATTTTACAAGTCAGTCCAGGATGTCCAAAATGGCCAGTCTTTGATTTTGTAGCATGAGTTCCTTTACAAGATTTTACAAGTCAGTCCAAGATGTCCAAAATGACCGGCCTTTGATCTTGTAGCATCATTTCTTTAGGCAGATTCATACGTGCTACAAAATCAAGAACCTCACATTTGAAGGCATCAAAAATCATCACTTTTTGAGATCAAACGTCCACGTTGATTCTATAGAGATTTTGTTTGGAGTCGATTCTGTAGAGATTTTTTGTTGGTCTTTGATTTTGAAGCATGAATGTTTACAAGTTTTACAAGCCCCATCCAAAGTCCCAAGTACCTGCCTTTCATTTTGTAGCTACAAGCCCCTCCAAAGTCCCAAGGCCAAGTGTCTGCTTTTTGATTTTGCCGCCTTTTTCTCATATGTTCTCTACAAAATCAAAATTTCGAGGTTTTCTTCAGATAGGTCGCTCTACAAAATCAAAGTCTCACCTTTTCACAAGTGGGCCTCCTACATCTGCTCTACAAAATCAGGCTCTAAAATCTCAAGCAAAAATCCTTATTCTGAAATCCTACCAGTATATATATATATAAACTTTTGAGGGGTTCTCACGAAAAGTAGGCCCTCAAAGATTCTTAGGGCAAAAATCTCAGGAATGCCGGGGGCATCTTCAAAATTCCAAAAACCCAGGACCCTGGAGCTCATAAAATAGAACCTTGATTTTGTAGAGGCCAATCTGTGGTTCCCCCTTGGAGATTGATTTTGTAGAGGGTGACACCTTGGTGTATGATTTTGTAAAGGCCACGATTGGCTGCCACGTAAACCTTTCCTACTGCAAAGGCTACCCCTAGTATTGAAGACTAACCAGCATTTTTCACATCTAACCTCCCTCTACAAAATCAAAAACCAATACATGTTGGGGGGACCCGGATCATTTTGAAACACCGGATAAGGCTCATTTTGAAACACAGAGGATAAGGATCATTTCGAAACACAAAAGCCCCGGATAAGGATCATTTTGAAACACATCCAAGATACTGCTGTTTAAGACATCTGGAAGGCATAGCATTTCTTTGTAACCACCATGGCGCTTGTAACACCACAGCACATTGATGAAACCCTAGCAAATCAGCTCTTCAAACAAAAACAATCAAAAAAAACAAGTTAGCTCTTACAAGGAGATTCATCCCTATCATAAATGCAATGTGACCGCAAAAGGCTTGAGTCTTTTCCCGTCAGCCATCTATTTGTGGCAGCTTTGTCCGGCAATTCATGAGGATCTCGTTCGAGACACGTATCAAAAAAAGAATAAAAATGCATCAAAAAAAATATCCAGCACGCATCAAAAAAATATATATATGCATCAAAAAAAATATCCAGGTGCCACTGTGTGAGACCTCACGGGTTTCGTGCTGCAAACCTAGATCAAAAAAAATATCCGTATCAAAAAAAAATATCATAGTAGTAGTAGGAGGAGGAGTAGTAGTAGTAGTAATAGTAGTAGTAGTACTACTACTACTACTAGTAGTAGTAGTAGCAGTAGTAGCAGCACTAGCAGCAGTAGCAGCAGCAGCAGTAGTAGTAGTCGTAGTCGTAGTCGTAGTGGTAGTAGTAGTAGTAGTAGTCGTCGTCGTCGTCGTCGTCGTCGTCGTAGTCGTAGTGGTAGTGGTGGTAGTAGTAGTAGTAGTAGGAGGAGGAGGAGTAGTAGTAGGAGTAGTAGTAGTAGTAGTAGTAGTTAGTACTTAGTAGTTAGTAGTTAGTAGTCAGTAGTCAGTAGTCAGTAGTCAGTAGTTAGTAGTTAGTAGTTAGTAGTTAGTAGTTAGTAGTTAGTAGTTAGTAGTTAGTAGTTAGTAGTTAGTACTTAGTAGTTAGTACTTAGTAGTTAGTAGTTAGTAGTTAGTAGTTAGTAGTTAGTAGTTAGTAGTTAGTAGTTAGTAGTTAGTAGTTAGTAGTTAGTAGTTAGTAGTTCGTCCTTTCGTAGGTAGTAGGTCGTACGGTAGTAGTCGTCGTTTCTTTAGGTCTTCGGTCGTCGGTCTCGGTCGTCCGTCCTCGGTCTTCCGTGTCCCGTCTACGGTCGTCTGTCGTCCCGTCTCCGCGCATCGTAGTCGTC